AGGCAGAGACTAACATTCGCAGACTTGGCGTTCCCATCGACGATCGATAATAGTTACTTGTTACTTACACTCTAAATTTCTTAGGGCGAATTTCACTCGAAAAGCAGACTGAGACCAGCGAGCCACTCGGGAGCTCGAGCGATTTTTCGCTCGAGCAGAGCGAATTTTCCCGCTGTGAATTGTCGAGTGAATGTTTTCACTCGAAATTGAAGAGCGAATCTGACGTACTCCACCGTCACGCGAACGTATTCACTCTAATCGATGAAAACATTCGCTCACACAAAGCCAGGATCCGCTCTAAGCCTCAGTGAAACATTCACTCTTGCGATTTCGAGTGGCGGTATTTTCACGATCGCTTCGACTGAAAATACCGCCACTTCCCACTCGTTTTGAGTGAGATTCCACTCCGAGATATTTAGAGAGTACATTAAGTAGTTGATTTTAAAGTTTTTTCTCTGCAGAATATACATTTCACTGTTCGACATATCTTTCTTCGATTGGATTTTTCTGCTTATAATTGACGCCTATTTTCGGCTCACATCAATATTTTTCGTTGCTTCGGTGTTTATACAAAAATACTTTTCAAACCAAATATTATTCATACTTATTTATTTTTTGTCGTTACTACTTCTCTCTTGTGCGATGTAAATTTTGACACTCCGAATTTAAAATAATCTGCTTTATACACCCTGAGAGAAAAAATATATGAAAAATAAGAGAAATATTTATTCGGTGAGTATTAATAATAAATTTACTTAAATTGCAAATTCTTTTGTTTAAGTAAAATAAATCAACATTTACCTTCTGTGAAAACAGAATGAAACCTTTTATGAAAAATCATTTTCGTGTAGAGAACAACTAAAAGATATAGTTGGAGCTAGAAATAATTATAATTTGAGTTATAGATCAAACATTTTATTCTCTCAAAGTATATTTTCTCATTTAAAAGAAATCTTTTCTCATAATGTAAAAGTATGTATATAGATAAGTTTCAGTACCAATCAAATAAATATTTTTTTACTTTTCAGACAAATTTTGTTTCATAGAAAAAGAGTATGAATCACGGATATACTCCCAGAATATTCTGATCCCGATTCACTCGATATTTCCCGCTCTTGACGGCTGTTAATTAACATTCAATCTACTGGCGCAGCTCGCCGATTGTCGTCTATTTCCGTCGCTCTGAGATCTTCAACGAAGTGCCGAGATTCATTCCTTCGATATTGTCGCATTACATCAAGTTTACGCGGTATATTAACGACGCACCACCCCGCGCTACATCTATCACCGCTGTTGACGCGACCACACCACCCTCACAGTTTGTCCTCCCCCCCTCTCTCTCTCTCTCTCTCTCTTCCTCTCTCTTCGCCTTTCCGGCTCTCTATCCTTCGGCAAGTTCGCGGCTCGAAAACGACGCGCTCGTGGTTGCACACGTGGCGGCTCCACAACGCACACCTAATTCGATACCGCGGCCGCCTCGGCGGAGACAAACGAGACACTCGACGTCCGAGAAAGCGGCGAACTTTCTAATTCAATTTGCCAAGTTGTACGCCGTGATTCCCCACGTATACCTGCTGGGTATATCCTCATTACTTCCGGTTGCGACGTCGCCGCAACGTGGCGAATCATCCCTCGTTGACGATAACAATCCCGTCGGACTGAACTGACTGACTGGCTTTCCGCGCGCCGTTGGTTTCTTCCGTGACGGCCGTCGGGTATTTCGCGAGATTTTCTTTCACGCGCTCGAACAAATTGCCTCGACAAACGCCCGCGTTCAAACCGACGAAACGGCCGGCGGTCGCGTGAGCAGCGAAAAAAATTGCTGTGCCATGCGGCGATTTCGGTGTGTCTGTGTAAGATAGTGATTGTCTATGCGTGTGTGTGAATGTGCGCGCGTGTGTTGCTACACAATTGGAGAGGCGGAACAAAAGGAGCCTCCAACCGGTGTTTAGATCGTTGTCTAGTTTCCTGTTGCTCTCCGCGAAATGCGATCCAATTGTGCGCACCTCATGGTTCGGGGAGCTTCATGGGATCGTCGAATGCATTCGCGTTTTCGTAATTTTGGGACTTTAAGAGAGGGAGGGAGTACAGCAGGATGGAGTCTTATTAACACCTGGGCTTCGAATGTTCCTTGGAATAACAGAGATTTCACAATAAGAAATTAAAAAGGATGTCAAAGTGAGAGACATGCGAATAAAGCATATGTAAAAGTAGACGCGGAGGTAACTACATTAAGTTATATTATGTTATCTTTGCGCAAGTCTAGGCGCAAAAGTGATTAGATTAGAGAAAGAAAGATTAGATTGGTAGAAGAGCGAGTTTAGAATGCACGTGTCTTCGCATCCGCGCAAAAAAAAATATCAATATTGGTAACGCGAATTAAAATAGCCATTTTTTACTATATATTTAATTCTAAAGCGAGAGAGAGTGAGAGTCATGCAAAAATAATAAGATTAAAATATTACGCTCGGGATGTATTTTTGAGTGTCGACGGCCCGCGTTGGAATAAAACAATATCTCCCATTTTCCGCCGCGAACGCCGCCGCCATTTGTACTTTTAATTCCCCGGGAGTTAAATTAAATCTCCATTTAAATTGCCCGTGCGCGCTTTCACGACGGTCTCGATTTAAGCCCCGTGAAGCGCGCCCTCGCGCGCGCGAGATTCGATCCTTCCCGCGATCCTTTCATCGCCTCAAACACGTCGAGTACCGCACGTATGCTTCTCCCTTTCCCCTCGCGCGAATCCTCGTCCCAGCCGTAATCCGCGCGCCCACGACACGTTAATTAAATCATCCGCCAGGACGTAGGCGCGTTCGCTCGTTATACGTGTCTAATTTCGGCACTCGTCTCCATCTTGTCCCGTGTCTCGTCTCGTCATGGGACCACCGCAGATCGATCCTCTCGCGTTCTCGCACGCACTGCAAATCCAAGTGTATTATTTCGGAACGTCTGATGTCGGCTGAAGTTCCGTTTACACGTTCCTTGCGGTTTTAAGAAATCCCGTATTAATAGTTGTTGCTTGAAACTAATCTGACGGTCTGAATGTCTGAGGACCGTATTAACAGCAGTTACTTGAAACTTGTCTTACGTGAGATACTCAAATCTGAATTTAGAGTTGAGTTTTTTTATTCAAATTAGATAATACACATGACATGATATTCGCAATCGCAATTCAGCTGAAAACTCACGTCTAACTATAAATTAAAATCTGAATGTCTCACCTCTGAGTTTCAAGTAACGGTTATTAATACAGATCTGAGATATTCGGATTTGAGTTCAGAATTTGATTGAAAGTTCTCCAGCTGAATCGCGATCACAGTTATGAATATCACATATTATCATCCAATTGAGAAATTTATATCTGACTAACTAAAATTTATATGTCTTTCAGCTCAAGTGATAATTATTAATACACGCGCCACGTCATTTAGTGTGTTTCAGAGGAGTAAATTATAATTTTATACGTTTCCAAATATATAAAAAGTGACATGATGGCTTAAAACGGTAAGAAACGTGTAAGAAGGAACTCAGCCAGAATAACACACTTGGATTTGCGACTGTTGACTCAATTCGAGGTACGCGTTTGTCGTTGAGAACGAGGACGAGCCGATTGTTGGAGATTCGAATCAGGGCTTTTATTTAGACGCAATTCATAAAGTCCAACTCCCTGTAAAATTACTTATCGACCCGCGCCCCGGAGTGGAGCTACGGCGCGGGCCGCCGCAATTCGTGGCCCACATTCGCCGTTGAATATTTACCTCCCACCGGTGCTTATTTGCATGCTGCATGCGGGCCGCATCGCCGCGGGATGCACCGCAAAATAAAGCCCATAGGGACTGTATCGAGAGTGTCGTCGTAGCCTCTCTTTCTCTGTCTCTTCCTCTCTTCGCCTCGTGGACTCTCTTTCTTTCCCTTCTCGTTTTCCCTGTTCCTCCTCTTTACTCGTCTTTCTTTCTTTTCAACGGGATCGTCTCTCTTACGTAACACGATAAGGATCTTCGCGTCGCGTCACCGTTACTGAATCGCACATACAGAGTGTCGCGAGCCGAGCACGCCCGACACACTTCGCCTACCTGGAGCTGCGGCGAGAGGAAAAGTTCGGCCGGCGCGTAAATTCGAAACTTGGCGCGAGCGCAAAGAAGTTGCCGCTCGATCCCCGACGATGCGGCGATCCGCCTCGTCGCGCGGCTGAAAAACGGTGTTGCGTCGTCGCCAGGAGCGAAGGGATCCTCGGCGCGTGACCGAGAGACGCTTTCCCGGATTTTCCGCCGGATGTCTCCTCGAGGAGACGTTAAAACCACCGAAGAAGAGAGAGAGAGAGAGAGAGAGAGAGAGAGAGAGACATAATATTACAAATTTTCTTTTCTTCGCAATTTATATCGTCTCATTCGTACTACTCTCTCCTTCTACGAGGATATCATCTGTTAATAAATAAATAAGTTTTCAGCGCGACTTATATTTCGGAGGCGACGCGAATTTCCGGAAAGCCGGAATCGTCGATTAACCTCGTCGGTTCTCGCGTTCGCGTTAAAAATAGCAGCGCGAAAGAAGAGGGGGTGTCAGGAGCGAGTCCAGGGCGAGGAAAGGACGGAGGAGAGACGGAGACTCCTCTTTACGGTACAGTAAGAGGAACGGTACTCCAGTATTCAGAGCGGCAGTTACTCAAGGAGGTATTCCGCCAGGACTACGTAATTACACAACGACGGGGAAGACGACGAGCTGGCTCGGCGCTAATTAGCGGGTTGTAGGTACTTACAATTGTGATGCAGGTTGGTCAGCTCTAGCGGTGTGCACTTGTACCGATGCTTGGACTCCAGCTTATATATCAGCTTGCCGATGACCAGACTCGAGTCCTTCTCGTGGTAGCACACCAGCGCGTCGCAATCTTTCCCGTCTGCAATGCATAGTCATGCGAGATCGTGATTACGATGCAAATAACGCACACACACAGATACACAGACAGATATGCAGACGCGAGGACTATATCGGTAAAGCCGTACGAAAGATGTCTAAAACGTCCAAGAGACGTTCTCCCCGAAAGACTCGGCGCGAAACGGACGTTCCGTCTAGGAGAGACAGCTCCCGCGAGACTGGCGAACGACTTCTTAAAGGCTTGTAAGTGGAATGGAAGCCGTTACCGTCTCTTTCCAGTTCGAGGCTGAATCCGCGCTCCGGGCGCGGTTACGATTATGAAAACGGCCATGGAGGAGAACAGCCCAGCGCCAGTTATCGCACATCTCTCTATTATTAAACCGGCAGTTATTAAAAAAGCGGCGGGGCGAGCTTCTCGCACGTCTACGCGGTTCCCGATCTCGTCGGGATTATACCGAAATAGACTCCCGAAAGATATCTCTGGGCGACTCCTAAGAGGCGGAAAGAGCCCGAGGAGATCGTAATAACAATAATAAATGGCGTAATAATAATGATATATAATAACAAATATAATGCACTGAAAAAAATAATTCTATGACCAATTTTTATCGGTTTCATATAAGTTTTCTGCCACAATCATATACATTTTTGAGGCAACGAATCGGTAGGTCAGCGCAATCAAGAATTGATTGTCGAAGTCAGAAAGAAAAGCTATGCCATATTTTATTATTCTTCTGGCTGACACAACCATTCTTTTTTTCCGTGTAAGCACATTTTTAGTTTCCGACGCTTTCGCACGACGCATGTATCACAGATGTGATGTGTTTAATTGAGAAGAAATGAATTAAAATTAATTAAAAATTGAGAAAAAGAATTATTTAAAAATTCTTTTGTATATAATAAACTTTATCCCACAAATAAACCTTCAAATATTTTCTTTTCTCAGCGTAACTGAAAATAAAATGTCCAACTTTATAATTGCACAGCTAAATAATTATAGTCAAGAGACCCAATTTTTCTGTCGCTAATGATAATAACCTCGTTGTGTATACACTGAGAAAAAAATAGTTGAAAATTCGTTTCTGTGAAATAAAGTTTATTTCTGCGAATGAATTTTACATCCCGCGATTAAATGTTCAGTTATTTTTTTCTCAATGCACTGTATGTGTGTGTGTGTGTGTATGTGGCTGTGTGTATATGTGTGTGTACTGCTGTTGCTTCTTGTTTGTTAAAAAAAACTACAGATAAACATAATTGGAGTTGAGAATGACTAGAATTTTATGATTGCAAAATATAACTGAAATTAATAATTTATTTTCTTGGTATAAACGCCGACACGTGTGCGTCGATGCACCTGTGAGACGCGTGTGCGTTTCCAAGATAACCAAAGTCGACAGCGTCGCGACTATAATTTCTCAGGAAGGGATCCCAATAATTTACCCAAAAGTGTCGCCGTTATCGAGGAGCAACCCCGTAGCCACCACCTCGTCGCTTGTGGCGGAAGCACATCGTCGACGTCTTCGACCATCGATCCTGAGGCTCGTCAGGTTCAGCGCGCGGGAGGACAAATGAATCCTGCTCCTTATCGCGATAAAAGGGGATGCGGTCGCGGCGTCCCGCGGGAAATCCGATATGGGGGGCTCGCCGCAACCCCTTTATGAATATAAAGCGGAAATTCGGCGCTCCTCGCGCGCGAGACCGAGTTCGCGAGCGGAAGGAGTTAACGCGGGAGATGGGAAAGAGAACTACGAGCAGGATGGATGGGGATGGGGCGGGCGGGCGTGCGCGGGGGTGGACAATAATTCGCGCATTATCGCTTCCGTTTACTCGAAATTTATTCCGATGTAGTCTCGCGCGCGCGCTTTCGCGCCGCGTAACCGTTCACTCCAGGAATAGATTAAATCGTTATCGCGACCACCGTTATGCGCGCAAAGCGTCCCATAGAGATAAATAATGTGCGCCATAATAGCGCGGAGGCCGCTTATATGACGCGCGCGTAACGCTCGCGCACGACCCCCGACGGTGCTTAAGGAGATCGCCGATTGCGACGCGCGTTTTTCCTTCCCCCCCCCCCTCCTTTTCTTCCTTTCAGCATAATACCGACGTATATTTACCGAATCGCAGGCAAACGGAATGATGGACGATGACGCGGGGCCGTTTTCAGGGTGAAATGGAAAAAGATGAGGATCCGAGATCGGACAAATTTCAATAACAGGGTGAATTTGCCGCGCAAGAATTCCCCAAGATTTTCCCACACACAATATAAGTTCCATTAGAATGCATAAATTTTTCTCAAAATTGCTTATCCTACTACGATACCAACTGGAAATCTTTATATTTTCTTGTCCCAAACATGACTCCTCTGCCTAGAATCAAAATTGAAGAGCTATGGGAAACTTCCTCTTCAGTCGGTGTGCCTTTACGATATCAAATAGATAACTCTACAACTATTGTGTTTAATAAAATAAAAATTGAGATATTTTTAAAATACTTTAGCTGTATATTTTACTGAATAATCAAATTATTTGGAAAATCAACATATATTTTGTCCAATTGATTAATGTGAAAGGAAGACCAGAAAAAAATTGGAGAAATTTTAAGCTTCCCACCTGAAATCGCATGTTTGAGACATGTATTTTCCCGTGAAACTTCCTCCGTGTTTCACCGCCTTTTGTCGCGCAGATGCGCGTTATTATCGCGCTGTTTCGCGGTCGTTGCGACAGATGCAACAAGAGTTTGAGATGGTAACGAGAGAAAATTAAAAGAGAGGACGCGCCAGAGAATATCCTTATACAGAGTAAAAGAATTCAGAGTAACAAGCGTGTCGCTTTATTAACCCTCGAAGCTAGCGAGGTGAGAACATTGTCGGGACGAGCGAGCGAGCGAGTGTTTGCCGCAGCTGAGGTCCTCGGCTCCTCGAGAATCGATTATCGAGCGAGTCGCGAAACACAGCTCGGCTCCGTGTCCGAGGACGAACTTGGAAGCCCCGAACGCCTCAGACGCCTGCATCGCAATTACAAGCACGGACAACAGGCGTACGTCGCGACTATCAGAATGACTCTCAGGACTCGCCCGTTGAACCGTGTCACGAGTCGGGATTGCTCCGGGAAACTGAATCGCTCGACGGGAATCCGATTGCACAGCCCTAACCCAGCGTGTCCGTTTCGCACGTTCGAGAGAGTCGAAGAGATCGTCGAGCAGTCATCATCGTTGTCTTCGTGCTCGTCGTCGTCGTCGTTGTCGTCGGGGCCCAATTACCCGGAGCGGCAATTTGCGTAGCATTAGCCATGCAACGAGATATCATTAGCCGCGGCCGCGCTCCGGCCAGAAATGATATCGTCACGTCGCCGGGGATCTCACTGGAGAAAACGAACGGGCCTCCTTACTCGCCTCGCTTTCGCGAACGGGCCCTTACCGAGTGGTGGCGCGGAGAGAGACGGTCTCGCGCGTTCCCGGAATTCGCCGGTAATCGTCGCAATTTTCTCCCAGGCCGCGACGTGGAAGGCGGCGACGTCGTGGGACACTCTGTCCGAGCGAGAGAGGAACGTTTGCACGCCAGAAGCTGGGTCTTCCGCAAACGAGACGACCGGCGGGATCCCGAAAGGACTCTTTGGGACCACCGGGAAAAGATTGCCGGTCAAAACGGCGAACGTCTGTCGCGCGACCGCCAACGGCGAGCGATGTCCTATCGTCTTCGCAGACGATAAAGAATTGAGAAGGAGGATTTTACCAACCTTCTCGTTCTCGTAATAATTTGAGCCTAGGAAAATCAGCTGGTAATCAATTTTTTCATCTGCTTTTTATGCGGAATATGAAAAAGGAATGCACGTAAATTAACGCAAGAAAGAACTTTTTTTAAACAAATCAGAAATAAAATACTTTGAGAGTTCAGGCACAGATGTTATAGTGCGATATCAATTAATCATTAAGGATAATAAGGATTTTCACTAATACTTAGATTAGTTGATATCGCACTATAACATCTGTGCCTGAACTCTCAAAGGCCCTATATTTTATTTCTGAATGCACATAAATTTTAACCCTCAACATACACTAAGGGTCTGGCGAATATATATATGTTGTGTAACTGTAGCGAAATGTGTATGTTGGGGGTTAAGTTGGGTAAAATTCTGTCATCTGTTTTGTGTACATATCTTCTAATTATATATTTTCTCTTTCTGAAAGTTATAAGTTTGTGCGAGAGATTTGTCATTTTTTTATGACAATTGTAGGCAATTTGAGCATTGAAAGGAAAATATGAGAAAAAATGTTATAGTTTTTGTATGAATTCTTTTGGATTTTACTATTTTTCTGATACTGCATAAGTAAACTAGCAACATCTATGTTGCTAAAAATTTATTTGCAGAATATAAAGATTATTTTTGTGAAGTAAAGCTCATCTTTCCGTGAAATAAAAACTTCTGTGAATAAACTTTATATTCCACAAATAAATTCTTAAATATTTTTCTCAAGTACCTTGTAGCAGATTTTTTAATAGCACATTTCAATTTCTAAATAAAATATGAAGTCCATATGAGTGAGAGGAAAGGATAATAAACTACTGCAGTATGTCTATCTATTCCTTGGTTACAAAATTCTCTAATAAATTTTACTATAAAATTTTCTCTAAAAAGTCCTCGTTAGATGTTTAAAAGGATACCGGAGTCCATGTTCGTAAACATTATTGATCCTTCGAAATTGGATAAAATTTCGTTTTCTATGTTACTCGACAAATACGACACATTTTCTTGCACCAATCTAATAAATAATTGCGACGTTCAACTTAACATTCTTTTAACAACTCACGGACGATCGAATTCAGACATACAAGTGCGACAGATTAAAAGTCATGCTCGGTTTTAAAATGACAGATCCGCGTACATTCGCATTTGTTATTGAATCACTTCATTATGTAGCGCACGGAGGAGATACTAGAGTTATCGCTTGGCTAAACATGGTTGCCATAACAAAATATTGACGTTACTTTTCGCATACGAGATGGTTATAATAACCATAGTATTCTGGAGATGCTGGACTTGCCTCCTTTGCTATTTGAGCGGAACTCTCAGTGCTGTGTGGCACAACCAAATCTTACACACAGAAAAATATTGTTCTACTGTTAAAAAAACCGATTATTCAATTTACTTTCCTCCTTTCAAGTAACGGTTATCTTCATAAAAAAATATTTTCTTGATAATAATCTTAAAATGTACTCATCAGAAATTTGGGGAAAGCTCATTGTCATGCATTCAAGAGAAGAACTTGTTCTCTTTAGAAGAATATCATATAAAATTTTATCGGAGAAAAAGTTGGCTCGACTCTAATGTAACAAGCAAACTAAATTTTTGTTTTAATTTAATACTTTTGATTGAAATGTTAAACTTGCAGAAATTCGGGATGTATTCTGAATACGTTTATACATAAAGACAACAATTTCTAATGCGATATAGAATTCGAAGAAGGGAGGATTCTAAGTGGGAAATATGATCTTGGAATGAATATGTATTCTTTTCCACGTATTACAAAGACACATGATCTTCGGCTTCCCGAGACGAGTTCCAAAAATCACGAAAGAATAAAGGAACAAAAAGAAGAAAGGAAAATTCCCAACTGTACCGAAACTGGATTCCCGAGATTCGGAGAAAGAAACGCTATTCTCCAAGGGACGCGATCTCAATTCGTCTAAATTACGACTCTTTGTTGCGTCGGGCATTTCTAGTATGGCCGCTAAACCGCGCGCGCGGCAAACCGACGAAACATTCTCCTCCACCTCCTTTTCAACACGCAAATTGCGCTCGTTCAACTCCACGTCTTATCTATCTCTTTCCATCACTTTTAATCGTAGAGCGCGATTAAAGGTCGGTAATAGTCTCGTTTTAACTGCTAAACGTAATACGCAAAGAGAGGGAACGAGCGAGAGGGAGCGGGAGGAGGGGGAGTTTCGATGTAACGAGTTACGTCGTTTCACCGTTCATATTACAGCGCGTCTGAAATATTGAAGCACCTGGAAAACGGTGGAGTCCGCGTAAAATCCTTTGAAAGTTCCTACGCCCGGCAGGAATTAGCGTTACTTAAGTAAATTGCGAGAACGGGAAGAATTAAAGTGCGATCGGCGGTGAGCGGAAGAAGAAAAAAGATAGGGAGGACAAGAGAGGGGTGGGGAGGGGAGGAGAGGAAAAGGAAAGAAAAGGAAAAGAACGCAGCTCATTAAGCTCCAACTAAATCGAGGTTCCTATTTACGCGAACTCTTCCTCCGGGGAAACTCGCCCTGCGGCAATAAAACGACGCTGTCCCGTCTTTTGTACGTGCAAAAATTTCCCTCCCTGCCTTTTCTTGCCCACCTTGCTTTTAGAGGAATTAAAATTCGGCTGAATTCCAGTTTCAGCGCAAACTGAATTTAGCAGTTCCCAGCGGAACTCCTCGCGCCACGTTTTTGTCAGCATTTTTTATCATTTCCGTTAGCCAAAATTTGTCGAATTTTTTCCTTCTCTGTGAAACGTGCGTTCCCCTTTCGCGAAACTTTGCCTTTAAGTTCCAATTGTCTACGCTTTCTCGGGCGGAAGTTCTCTTTCGAAGAATTCAAACGTTTTGGGGGTTGCGCCAGAGAGATTGGCGGTTTGAAAAAATCGAAAAGCTCTGCTTTCTCTGTCTCTTCAATCGATAGACGTCCCAAAAATGTCATGTAACTTAAGTGAAAATTCCAAGCCAAAGTTATCCGAGTCAGCTTCTAACGCACGGCGTGTCATTAGCCCGGGGCGCTTTCGTTTCTTGACCTGAGCTCGAGATGCATCGGAATTTTTTTGGAAGTGTCTTTTCCCAAGATACTATCTGCAGTATCCGGTTCTGTGACGAGCCACTTGGGTGGTTTTTCCGCTGAGACTACAACGAAAGTTACAACATGTGTCCGCTCCGTAAAATCGCCCCGAAGTCGTTATTCACTGCCTTAAAGTGAATCAGAAAAGATGTTTTTGATTGAATTGGCTAGAGAAGTAGAGATCTATCGCAATCGCAATAATCAGTGAATATTCGCTGCAACACTGCCACTTTGCTGCTTCATCTTGCGTCTTACTGATCTTCACCGGCGGAGGTAAGATTTCACTGTAAAGTCTGCAGTGCACAAATTCGTTACGCACGCTGTGCCAAATCCAACTTTCCGCGCTTGCGGCGATGGAATTAACAGCTTCTATGCGATTCACGTGCAATGGCACCGTCTATGTTCGCAAACTGCATCAACGGTAGGAACAGTCGCTGCTATTAACTGATTCTTTCAACGGGATTTCACTGAATGCAGTGCTAAACTTACAACTGAACCGTCAGTTGCAAGTATAGCGTTCGAGTTTCGAGCGAAGAACTGATTCTAGTTCAAAGAGCAGTGGCGCGAGAATAATCGGAACAACCGTGAATATCGCTGCCCTGCATCTTCAACGAAGGATTTGTATCTTTACTGCGGATCGCTGAGGTAATGGGTGTTCCCATCGGCATTTGACGCGGCACGAAAAATCGATTCCTTGTATACACTTCGATATACATTTATTTGTATAATAAATAGTCGCTTTTCGTTTATTTACTTAAGTAACGGTAGCTTAAGCTACTTCGTTGTTTCGTAATAAATTTTCTTTCCCAGCTTCAAAGAAATATTACTTTGCGACACCAAGCTGATATGATTGCCTCAAGTTCTTTAAAAGAGATCACGTTTGACTTCAAACAAATTCCAGAAATTAAATAGAAGGAAAAATTGTAATTTAATTCTCTCTTAAGAGTTTGTAATATTCTTCATATTTTCTTCATATAATTCAAATCCTTCTCATATTTATTTTAGAGACGAATTATTCAGAATTATGCTCAATTAATCACACGTTCTGAATTAATTATATCCGTGCCCCGAATTATATAATGCTCGCTGGCGTTTCACGACTGTAAAGCTAAAATACAAACGAGAAGGAGCTGTTGCATGGTCTCTTACGAGATTACTCCGGGGTCTCCTTTGCCTTCCAATACAAGTGAGTGAGTAATCCCGCCCAGAAAATACGCTCCATTCAAATTGTAATACATAAGATGCCGGACGGCGCAGTTAAAGAGGAAAGGAGAAGGATCTCGCAGGATCTTAGAACGCGAACGTCCGGCAAAATATTACCAGGAGGACTCGACCGTCCCCGTTTCCCTCCCGTCTCTCTCCCCTATCAGCATTATTTAAACGAACCGGGGGCAAGAGGGCGAGACTGCAGGAAAGAAAGTCGGAAGGATTAAGGCGCAATCGGCGGCGGAGAGGGCGGCGAAAAAGGATCAAGGAACAGCCACTTTAATTTCCATGCCGGCGGAACGGAGTCGCGGGCACTTCCCGCGGTAATTAAGAGTCACAATTAAGTGGGCGAAAAAACGTCGCTGATAATTACCGGCCATCCCATCTCTCCCTCCCTCCTTCTACCCGCTGTCCCGTTGTCTCGCGTCGCTGCGGTGAATTTGTCGCTGTGAGGAACGGAAAAGAAAGAAAAGTATAAAGGAACGTTTACCGGACGACGACGACGACGACGGCGAGGGGGGAAAGAGAGAGAGAGAGAGAGAGAGAGAGAGAGAGATCTTCGGCCTCCTATCAGGATCTCCTTAGTCACGGGATTAGGGTGAATCCTGTTGGAGCCGCGCGAGACTTCGAGTTTTACGTCACGTCGTGTATTCGTCACGCCGGTAACGAGATTCCACCGGCGCTTCCTGCATCGCCAGATTGGAGAAGTTCGCGGCGGAAGAAAATTGAGTCGCGAGCCTAGAAAATTAAATTCCAGTCTTCTCACACCACCTCCCCTCCAACCCTCCGTCTCCTGCCGCGGAATATTTTTCAGGAATCCCGGCATTTCGGCTTTGCGAACCTATCCTGTGCTTCGCGAATTTCAAGGCCGCCTTCGCGGGGATGCGAGGGAGACGAATTAATCCGTATCGCGTTCGTGTATCTCTGCGGCGATCAATTGCGCGTTTTTGACGTCGCGGTGAAAGACTGGAATTCCGTGGAGAGTTACGAGAAGCCCGGAGGGAGATCGGGCGAGCTTAACTTCTGATCCGGGAAAATTAAACGCCGATCCTCTCCCTCAGGATCTCCGGGAGTGTCCGGATTCTCCGGAAAGTTCGACGGGATATTTTTTCCGGACTTGCCGGAGTTCTCCTTCGCGAGAACCTAGATTTCCGAGGTGAATTGAAGGTTCCAGAGGTCGCACAATATGCCGAAGTGCTGGCGATCGACCGACCGATCGACCGATCGCCAATTCCGGCCGGGTTATTCGCGACTTATGCACTCACCGTTCTCCTCGAGACGACCGAACTTGTCTCTGTAGAGTAGTGCGACCGGCAACCAGCAGCGTGTGTAAAATGCGGTGACTGACACTAACAGCACGACTACGAGAACCGCCAGCAGCAGGGACTTCCGTTCCGAACCGTTCGGCAGGTGCAGCACGAATTGTGGTTCTGCAACACAATCAGACGAAACACCTTCAGATAATTCTAGTGACAAAAGGAATGACAACGTAATGATACACAGGAAAGGAAAAACGTTCTTGCTTGGAAAGTATCTTTGCTTCTGACACGTAAGTCTTAAAATGAGAACACTAAACGCAGGTAAATTGCTTTCATCAATGCGTCTTATGTGTGATTCAACGAAGGAAAATATTTTTATTATACAAAAATAATTTTTATGAATAGAAAAGGTGGAAGTAGACATCAATATCATCGAAATGATCATATTGCATTTTTTGTGAGACTATTATGATATTCAAATAAAATTATTGTCGAAAACCGAGACATGAAAATTCTTCTAATAAAATTATATATCGTTACTTATATAGCTTATAAAACAACGATTGTTAATTGGAGCATATTGCTTTCAAGTTAATTTCTTTTTTCTCTGGTGGAGGGGAGTGCAATGTGAATTAATTTATATGCGTATACAATCATTGAAAAGCTAATCTCTTCTCCTTTGGAAATTAAAAAAAAATTGTTTCCCTTCCGTTCGAAAAAAATTTCATCGAAATTTAACGACAGAAATATGATAAAAAAAAAGCAAAATCCAATGGAAAAATTGTTTAACCCCGGAACGTTTGAAATTCAATAAAAGACGGGAATTTCTCTTGCGCATAAAGATCGTTGCAACTTTTTTTTTTAATTTTTCGCTCCAAAAAGTGCATCGATGTCGGCAGACAATAAATGGGGAATTACGACGTAAACATCGCATTATTTGATATGGCGATAAATTAAATTTGCGTTCGATTTAAAAATGATCTTATCGATGCTGTTCCGCGCCAATTTGCCCGAAACTAATTTGTATCAATTCCCAACGATGCATCGCGTATAATAATTAAAATCGATAAAAGTAAATCGCGCGCAACGGCCGAGTGGACTCGCGGATATTTTCCGGGCATTCCCGGCTATTATTAAAATGAATTCGTCGCTAGATTGTTTTCACGCGAATAATGCATCGGGGTTAATTGGATGCGTTTTGCTCCGAGCCGTAATTAACAATAACGGTTACTCGCTGTAAACAACAAGCGAGATTATTTCACTTGTTTGTATCCCACATTTAATTTCAATAAAGACTTCGATTTTCGGCGCGTTAAAATTAAAATTAAAAAAAAAAGAAGAAGGAGAAAAGGAAAGAGAGAATAGAGAGAAGAGAGAGAGAGAGAGAAAAACAACCTTTAGAAAGAATAAAATAGAAAATTTAAAACGCCGAATTAACAGTGCGTGTATAAGTCTGTGCAAATGGTAAAAAAAGATCACATTGACATATCCGAGTGTCGAAACGCAAGATTTTCGATTCGAAGTTTTGATATTTTTCTCTCGCTGAGAGTTTAATGGCGCCGTGTGCGGAATATTCGCGAGAAGTTGAAAATAAGCAACCTTACTGACCTTGCTCGTAGACGTGAGCCGCCAACGTAATATCCTCGTCAACGCTGTTGCTGATTATGCACTTGTACTCTCCATAATCCGTGAAAAGTACGTTTTGGATCTCCAAATAGGAGCCGATTATTTGGTTGTCCTCTCTGTAAAACAAATGGGCGCGTACACGCTATTAAAACTGCATACATGGTAACACGATGTTGGAAGTGTTTGCCAAAAAACTCTTGACAAACTCCAAAATTCATATATATATTTTTTTTTCATCATTATATAAAAACTACCTCATTCTTCTATATATGACTTCAAGAGGATCCTTCTGAGAAAGGAGAATAATCCAAGCACAATATTCTTAAAGTTAGAGAAATTTTCTCTTCCATAGTACAAGTTTTGCTCACCGTGTCTTTCACAGCGTGCGCATAGAGAGAAAAATATCCAAAAAATAATAAACATCTACTCAGTGGGGATAGTAACAAGATATTTATTTAAATTCTGCGATTTAAATAGAATGAACTGCCTCCATGAAAAGTTAAAATTTTTTCAAGGTTTCAGAAGATATTTGTTTTCTTGCTTGAAAAATGTTTTATATTAGTACAAATAAATATCTTATTATCAGTATCCACCGAATAAACATCTTCTATTTCTTAGATACCTTCTTCTTTCCGTGTAGGAGAACATTCTGTTTCGAGCAAACATATCTTTCTTGATACAAGAGGAAAGAGGTCGGAAACCAGACAGTATAAGTGTCTCCAATGCGTTTTAGAGGCATCTCAACAACGTTCAAGGCAAACGGCGCACCTTTCAGACGTCTCTAAGATGTCTTTTAGATATTTACGCTGTGTATGGGAATAATATCTAATGGATTTCCAAGTAATCAACTTCATTAGAAGAGGAATTCTCCTTCAGTAAAAGTTTTCGCTTAGAATATGAGACTGCAGAAAATAGCACCTTGCAACTAGAATTTTTTTTTTGGGAGTGAAGTAATATCCTCCTGGTTGCAAAAGGATCTTCTTGCGGCCAACATATAAGAGGATTCTACTGAGGATAAGATCATATTTTCTGAATGTTGAACATTGCTGTTGCACGCGAGAGAGATGGAAGTTATGTCATTTTAGTGGAAAAAGAGAGACATCTATGAATTTTTTATTCTCATCATGAAGAATATTCCGCGATTTACTCGTCTCGACTGTATACTTCAGTCCCATTAGTTCTAATTACAGGCAACGTTCTAATTATAACTGGAGTTGAACTTTTTACAATGACGCGCTGACATCCTTTCGCAAATTCCCGTCCCCAAGAGAGGAAAAATGAATGAGCCAAAAAAAGTGTTTCGCGTGCAGAAACTCGCTTTGGGAGGAGGGTCGAAATTTTGGCGCAGGTTTCGTCACTGTTGCTCCTCGTTCGGAAATTACGTCGCTTGAAAAAAAAAAAAACGAAACAAAAAAAAACACGCGCGCGGTTGCATATTTATCGCACTTTGTTCGTTGCGACCGCGTATTCGCGAGCCGGTGATGCTCACCGAAACGTGCTGGCTCGCGCGCCCCTGCACTTGCATTTCGCGACGCGCGTTGCTCGTTTTTTCGGTGGCGGCCGACCCGCGCAAAAATAAGAACAAAACAGCAAAAGGAGGGAGGCAAGAAAGCGAGCGAAAAAAAGAAAGAGAGCGAGAGAGGATCCGTGCGTTTCATTCGCCGCGCTTCCGGCGCGACGGGCAGCGAAAGAGTCCCACGTTCCATTACACAATCATTTAACGCACGGAACATTTCGCCATGCTAATTTAATTACGAGCGGCCGACCCGCTCGCCGCCAACGGGCGACTTAGCCGTGCGCGTGCAATTAATTCCGGACGCATAATTTCGTTCGTCCGTCTGTCCGTTCGTTCGTTCAGCCCTTTCACGCGCTCGCTCGCTCGTTCGTTCGTTGTCTTCGTCTTGCCTGCGGCGCGCTTGGCGCAAACAAATAAATTTTCGGCGTTTAGGTGTGCGAGTGAATATACGAGTACAAAGAGAGAGAGAGAGAGAGAGAGGGGAGGAAGAGAGGAGGAATTAGAGGAAGGTACAGCATCGTGTTTTGATTAATGAGCGAAACAACAGACTTCGCTGAGAGCGATGGATATTTAGTTGGTGCTAATTATTGGATTGTACAATTGAATTATATTATTGAATAGTGTTCAGATAAGGTAGATCTCTCCGCGGTATTGCGGTGTAATTTCATGTTTTTCTCTGAGAGTGTAGAAGTGCTGAATTAAAGCGCGGTTTCATGTTCCCTCTCTCTCTCTCTCTCTCTCTCTTTCGTCCACTTGCCCGAAGCGGTATAAAAATACGGAAATAAAACGACGCGCTGGGGGAGTCGTGGATTTTTATGGCAACGAGAGTCGGAAGGAAACGTGCCGGTTTTCGTTGGTGCACACAGACGGCAAGAGGGATACTTGTCGCGTTCGGAAATTGTACCACGATTATGGAAAACAGCAGGCGATGCGGGACAGCGATCTTATTCGGAGACTGAAACGCGCTCGCTGTTTACCATGCTGCAATTACGCTCTTTTGAGAGAAGCGAGTTACAAACCCGTCAAGCAAGAGGGAAAGAGAGAGAGAGAGAAGAGAGAAAGCGACGCAAATAAAGTGAGAAGGAGAAAGAAAGAGAGAGAGAATACTAGTGCAATATCGGCCAAAAAGCGAGCGCGGTCGCATTTTTTATCCCGCTTTTATTGCGAGCATCACGACGGCTCGCGTCGCGACGCGCCGCGCGCTGGGCTGAATAATTAAAACGATCGGGTCGAAGTATGCAAATGCGCGACCGTGATATGCGCGCGCGCGAGCACGCGTGACGAAGAGCGGCGCGAAATGATATTCGCCGTTTTAATAAATTTCCGGGGCTCGAAACGACGACGGCACGACGCGAAAAATATCGCCCGCGTCGCCGGAGAATCGTGTAAATCACGACGACGCGCGCGCCGAGGTGTACTCGCACCGCCCTCGATCGCCCTTCTCTTGCTTCTCCTCCTCCTCCTCCACTTCATCCCCTCGCGCCATTCAATCGTAGAAATTGAAAACTATGTTGGACGTTATTTCGGCACATCGATCTGTTAACATCACGGACACGACGGCGGTGTCCCGACTAGAGGGGCTCTCTCTCTCGTTGTGAAAAAACGAGAGAAAATAAAATAAAAAGTCGAGGACTGTCGAAAATTTGTATCGACAGTATGAGAGTGTATGTGCGTCGATATCAAAATTGTTTACCGAAATCCGAGATCTGCAAATTCGTGTGTCTCGTGAAAATTTCAAGCTCCGTGTAATTTTAATTTCAATTCCGTTCCTTTCTCGCCGCCCGTTTCTACCCCGTTTCGCGAGAGTCGTGCGCATCGACACGATATCAAGCTATTTTTCCAGACTCAACTGTTAATCCTATGTCGCTGGCCATTCTAATGTTGATCTATCAAATTCCAAGTTTGTCTATAGTTTACAAATGAGAATTTTTATTTGTCATATAACACGCTCGATTCGCGGGATGAAACGTGAGTCTGAAATTTGCAAGCGGAGTCTCCTCTTCTCTCTCTCTCTCTCTCTCTCTCTCTCTCTCTCTCTCTCTCTCTCTCTCTCTC